CTGCACATTTAATTTCTATGCTTTCAAAGACACCAAGACCATAACAAGTGCAATGTTGTTTTAAATCCCCCTGAGTAACATTTCACATACACAGTATAAAACTGCATTGAGATTACTAAAGTACATATGTGTTGTTGATTCAGCAGAATTCTAACATGATATTACTAGTTTCAGCATCAGATTTCCTCACTTGCTATTACCAATTTTAAAAAAATAGGAATGCAAATATGTTTTGTTATTAGCAAAGAGAAAATAATCAAGGAAGGCAGAATAAACAGAAAAATGGATGGAAATTGTGGTAATCACTGTAATGTGTTTTTTTTCTTGGATCACAGCTAACACTCTTGTTGTCATTACTCTGAAAGCCATCAGCTAGTTTTTCTGTCGTCTGCCATCCCATGGGAGCCTGTTACTACATATTTTGGCCACATATAGTTAACAATGATACATAAGAGTCTGGCAAAAGCAGATTAATAGTGAATTCTGTCAGGCAAATAACTACATACTGAAATAAGTTGTGTGGTTTTGGATAAAATCCACAAGTTTATGAAGTATTTTAAAACCAAATATATGCCCTTCTATAGCATAAGCACCATAAGGGACTGACAATTCTGTTTATCTGCTCTTAGCAGTTTGCACTGAAGGAGCAGGACTCTTTCCATATTAGAATTCCCATCAAGGGATTGACTCCCTTCTTGCAAGATACATTTCAAATAATTGAATACTCTTTATTTGCTATAATGTGGATTTCGGGAATTGGGGTTTTGTTTGGTTGGTTGGCTGTTTGATTTGTTGGTTTTTAAATGAACAGAGATACTTAGTTGAATTCTAAACCCAGAACGACCACAAAAAGCATCTTACCAGACCTGGACTGTCCTTTATGGGTAACACTGTCCATCCATACATTGTTTTTTTTCAGCATAGCAGTATCAGTTACATGAAGAAAAGGAGACACAATAACAAGTGGTTTTCTGCCAGTCTAAGTGCCCTTTTTATTTATAAATATGTGTGTGTGGTCCAGCTTATGTAATGCAAAACCTCCCAGTTGTCATGCAGGACTATGGAATAACAGGAAGTATGCAAACCTCATGGTGCCAGAACGGCTCCAAATGGGAATAGGTCAGTGCACAACTACTGCAGGGCAGCAACAAGGGCTGCTCTGTTGTATTGCAAAAGCAATTCCTCACCTTTTGACTTGGGCTGTGCTTATTGCAGTCTTTGGAGAAACTCATGAAATCTACTTTGGCAAAATTTTTTCAGACTTGGAGACTTGTTAGTGGCATAGGAATTGCATTTCACTCTGCTAATGACCCAGTTCATTTAAAATTATCACGGCACAAATCATATAATCTATTTTTCTAAGGGTATAATGTGTAACATATAAATTCCTGAGTATCAGGACACAATCAGATGATTTTCTGATGTTACCTTTATGGCCAAGTTAATTGGCACATTATACTGTCAGTTATTGTCAGTACTGCTAATAATACACATCACACTAAACATTATTTCTAAAATTGCTGCTATTCACATGTAAGTTTTCTTTGGCTGCTGAATCTTTCCATCTAATTTTTTGCAATGCCAGATATTAAACAGAAAGACATTATTTGCTTGAAATTAGCCTTGACTAAATAAGTTTCACGCATACTGGTATGTGTCATTATTTCTGCTGTGATAATGCACATCAAATTACTACTTGCATTGTTAGCTGGGGACAGACTACTGAAAATGAACTTTTAATTTTTTTAAGAAGAGTAACTTTTTTGTCTTTTCTCCTGCAGCCATCCAGTATTTTTAGATTTAAAAAAATGCAGGAAAGAGTGCTCCTCCTGCCTTTACCTCTTTTTTTCCTTAAAAAATCAACAGTAGCAAGTGTTTTCTATATGTCATCTGCAGGAAATGCGTATGTCAATTGAAATACATTCCTTATGGTGGCTCTTATGGGTATGTGAATTCTCTTTAAAAGCTCTATTTATCTGCCTTGGGTGAGGAGATTGAGATTCAGGCCATGATCTGCTTGTGGCTTTTTACTGTTTTCTGGGAATCCTGAGAAAGATTTATTTAAATTAATACAGACTATAACTGTACTAACTCTACTAGATTCACCAAAACAAGAGAGTGAATGTGTTTACCCTTCCAGAATTTTACCTTTTCTAAATGGTAACTCTAACTTCTTTTTTTTAAAATTAATAAATATTTCTTGCATCATCAACCTTCCTTAAATGCAGAGGGAAAACATATACATTAAATCTCAAAAATAATTACCTTCATTTACTTTACTCTTTCTCTCCCTTTTATTTTTAATATATGAGGTTAGTAGTGCAAGTCTCCATCCACACCCCAGCCACCTCTCATCTGCTTCTTTACTACATACTACATGAAATCAAGATTCCCAGACAAATACTGAGACATCATTTTGCAGCAACCCTCAAACCCTCACACCTCAGCCAGTCCAAATGTTGATCTGTGTAAAGGTAGGAAATTAACAGGTTAGTCCCAGTATTTTCTGATTCTGAAAGGAAGACCCTTTGTGGTGTCTGATATGAGCACCATCATTATTCAGCCTAACTGCAGTGCTCATTCAAGAACTTAGATATTCATGAGGAATGAAAATTAATTCTGCTGGAACATGCTTCAGTGCATCTGCTGGCACCCAGCTTACTGGCTAAAAGAAGGAAAACTACTGGACTGAGAGTAATAGACTCTTTTCCCCTTAGGAAATACAGAGCCTATGTGTTATTTTCTTGATGTCATGGACATCTTATTTCTTGGGGTAGTGCATGGAACAGCACTGTTTTATTCACCTTTGAAAACAGGCAGATTGCCCAGGCTATCTTAGTTACTTACTATGCAAACCACGGGAGAGGTTGGAACTCTGTATTTCAGTAGTGCTCACAGCTGGGAAAGAAACACTTTAAGCTCCCAAGGTTGTTGTGTTAGAGGAGTCCCACTGCTGCTGAAAATGTACCCAAGAATTTGTAAAAACCAGTTGGCCAATCCTGTAGTGGACAGAGCATGGAAGGTGGCACACAGACGTTGTTCTTCCTCTGGTGCTTTGTCTGACCCAACCACTGTTCACAGAAGCAATCTGCTTCATCTTAGATACACTACAAAAGAAGTGACCAAATGCTGACACTCATGAACAAACCTTTGGGTTTTGTTTCTCCTTTTTTTTTAATGGAAAATAATTTTATTATTTTTTAATTTCTTTTTTCTTCTCTCATTTCTTGCATTTGTTGCATTTAAGTGGTTAAACCTTTTCACTAATCATATATAGGATCAAGTATTTTAAAACTAAATAAATTTTAGAAGTGCTAAATATATTACCAAAGCTAAGCAATTGATCTCACTAAATTCTTAGTATTCTACTACAAGATTAAACATGATACTGTGAAAGTCAGGGGGCCATATTTAATAAAAAAATCAGAAAATAATTGTTTTCCTAGGAAGGATGTAATTTTTACTGTTGCAATAAAAGACTTCTGAAGTATATTCAGCATATGCCTGTGTAAGAATTAAAGTAGTTTGGATTTCAAAAACCAATCCTTTGCTCAAAATCTCATTCTAACACGGAAAGCTGGGTTTAACTTTATAATAAATACCCCATTCTTAAATTTGCAGTTCTTGACTAGGTAATGCCACTTCCATCTGTCTCAGTAAGTGGCAAGCATCCCTGCCCCAGATTTCAGCTACCCACAGCCATTTGGGCACTGCCTAAAGAAACAGAAAAAATGGGACTGCTCAGGAAATACTAGATCATAGTTGACCCCCTTCCATCCTTATGGAAGCTCTTTTCATTCCCCAATATGTGATTTACATTAACATCTACCATAAGGCATGATGTTGCTGTAAGTATTTTTAAGCTCTCATTGGTTTGTAAATTGCAAAATTGTAAACGTCCTTATTTATCCTAACAGCCCCATAAGGAATATTGTGTTCAAAATAAGTAAATTATGATCTTTATATATTTTTCACTACATCCTTGGTTTGGGTTTTTAAAGAAAATCAGTTAAAGTAATAACCAAGGTTCAAAAATTGACACAGGTTCTAATGTCTTGTTAGATAAGTAAGGTAGAAAGACACAAGATGATTATTTTTAAAGTGTGTTCCATCCTACTCTTTCATGAGAACCTAGTTTCATACCACTGTTATGATGGAAAACAGACTTATGATGCCCACTGTTGGAGAAAGGCACCCTTTCAGTATTCTCTGACACTGCTTCTGGCTGATCAAAATGGGCATTATGCTGCATTAGAAGAAAGCATTGTGCAAATAAAGTATCAAAAGAGGCTGGAAAACAGACTTTGTGCAATCAGACTTGAATCAAACTGAGACAGAATGGTATTTGGTTTAAATAATCTTATACTTTATTTTAAAACTTACAAAAAGCAATTATTAGAACATAAAGTCTAGTGTTTTAAAAATTCAGCTATATTCTATACTAATAAAATAATAATCTCTAGCAGTCATTACTAGAGTATGGAAGCTATTTGGTACACAATATGCATGACATAAAGTGATGCAATAATTCTTGTTATGTTATATAAATTATATTCCCCATTAAGCATGCAGATTTTCTCTGGCTACTGTTGATCTGCTGCTACACATTTCACAAAAGTTTGCTTTGTCTTCAGAATCTGACACTCTGAACAGCCAGTTTAACAAATGAAAGAGCACAGATTATGATAGAAAAAAATTTCAGCAGTGATGTTAGTATTGGGTTTGTTTGGAGGACTTTCTTCTGCTTCAGTTTCTTTTATCTTATATTCAATCAGAAATATCCCCTGCAGAAAATATTTTTCCTCCATCCAGTGTCAAGTTTTACTTCTTAAAATGCATATTCAGAAGTGTGTAAACTACAGAAAAAAATATGTTAGTGGCATATAGTCTCCCTTTAGACACAACATGTGACACAATATCTTTATATGCTGATTATTTTTCTACCATGTGTCATACCATGTATCATTTATGTTCATTTAGGACTAAGAAAAAGTATCAGATTCAGGATTTATATTACAAAGTTAATATAAAATAGATGTCAGTTATGTTTTACAGGTTATTTGCTTAGAAATTTGTCTCAAGAGGTAAAAAGTGATTAGTAAAAAATAATGATCAAGTAAGAAAAGACATATCTGAATGTAAATATCAAATATAAAAAACATTATTCTGGATAATTATGTATAAATACTGGTGATTAATTGCATTGTTTTCTCATACAAGAGCTTGTACAAACTATACTGTAATAGCCTATTACATGGTCAATTAATTAAAGCTTAATTTTCCCAGATACGATCATCTCATGTAATTCTTTGGTTAACAAGACATATGCTTTCTTAGAATTGTCTAAAAAATAAAGAGGATCAGTAATTGTAGATGGATTAAAACCTTCATCCACAAGCCGAAATTTTTGCTGTTTGAATGTTCCCGTCATTTCCATTTTTTCCTGCAGTAGAGAAAAAGACACATTATTCAAAAACTAAAAGATACATTATTCAAAAGCTACCTTTTCTGACATTAACATTTGTTTTTCAAAGTCTTACTTGATGTAAGTCAGTTTGTTCTCACAGTGCTGAAAAGCTGGGGCTTGTGTGCTGCTGCAGACCCAGGCCAGACACGCAGCTGGCACAAGCCAGAGCCCGTTTCTGTGCATCCCTGTGCAGTGTCTCTTTAGTCTCACATTTGGTGGGTGCATGGAGCCCCAGCCTGCCCAAGGCAATCAATGTTCTCCACTGGGCACATCATGAAAGCAAGCTGCACACCACGGGTCTTCTGAGAGTAAAACCTTGTTATTGCCAAGAACTCCTTAATGATAAAACTCAGGAAATTTATTCTATCTATGACTATTGTCACCTCACAAAAGGGGTTGAAAGAATCACATACTAAATCAGCCACACTCATATTCCAGTCCAAGGGAAGATGGATCTTGACCCTACATCTTGTTTTCAGACTGCTCCAGTGCTATGGCATCCCTTGGAAAAGTGGTGTGAGGCATCTGTAATAAGACTGTCTTCTCTATTCTAACTACTTCTACTCCATCATCTTTATGACCTCTCTCCATCATCTTCTCTTCTGACATTATATTTTTTATATATGCAAACAATCTCTGAATTAAAAATCATTAAGTATTATGTTAAAAAAAATGTCAAAGAGCCCTTTTATCTACTCCAGGCACACCTACAGATTTTATCTACCTGCTCTGGTTGGTCTAGGAAATGTTCTGACATTTAAAATATATGTCAGATCAAGCTTAATATGTTTTTAATTTTTTTCCTTGAAGTTCCACCCTCTACCTCCTTTCTTGGTTAATGGCAGCTGTACCAACAGCAAGGCATCTGTAATGGAGGTATTTAAATTTTAATTTAAATTCAAATTCCACATATTTGATATCAATGCAATGCCCAAGATTCAAATTCTTTCCGTCCAGTGTAAAGGTTTTTTTTGTACAGCGCTACAGGAGTAAATCTAGACAAGGTTCTCATAATAAATGAACTGACTACTGCAACATTCTCAAGTCTGATCTTGCTTCCTCACATCAGAATGCTGCCGCAAGGTATCTTCCTGGACTTACGAGATAGATTGATCAATAAATACACACATATTTCTCTTTCAAGGTATTTCACAGATTTTTTTGTTTCCCATCTTTATTCTGAACCAATATTAATCCCTGGGTGGTCTAAGATACCAACTTCCATAACTTCTCTTTTTAAATAATGACTATTTTTTTCCATCGGCTCCTTGAACTTAGGGTACTCCTCAATAAACATCCTCAGAAAAATTTTCTGTTTGTCTTTATCATGATGTTTGCAAAACACTTATCAGAAATGCAAGCGCTTATCAGACTTCATTGGTCATGATTATCAATGTTGTGTGCTTTTGATACTCACACATTTTTTCCTAGCTCTATGTAGTCTACTCTATTATATTTACATTTTTACACTCTGTGGGAGGGACTATTTTCCCCAAACTGGACAATTACTAGAGCAAAGTAGTGCACAAATAAGGATGATTTTGATGATTACTGTGGTGGCAACAATAATACACTTTTTTCATTCACCTTTTCAATTTACCTAGTATCTTTTCAAATGCTTTTTATCTTTCCAAATATTTGTCATTGTTACACAGAAAATAACATTTCTTTTATTGTGCACAGCCCACTATCTCCTCCTATAGCCCTATTTCTCTCTAATTTTCACTGACCAAAATGGATTTTAGATTCTTTTCTCCAGATGTAATTGTTCATGTTTTTAAACCTGGACCTTTTTCTTTCACCATGATTATGCTTCTGATCTCCCCAAATCCTTTTATATGATCTCTTTCCTTGCTCATTTGTACAGTTTCTCTCATTTAAACATAATCTGCAAATTCATTGACTTTTTGTGTAATCCCTTTTCCAGGACTCCATTAATGAAGAAAGCAAATAGGACCTGGTCTAAAACTGATTTAATACATGAATAAGCACTTTTTGTTATTCACTTAGTTCTCTCTGTGCTTAAATTACGTAGATGTTTGTATACACAGGCAATAATGCAGCTTACCTGGACTCTTAAGAAAAGGGGACAAGCATAACTTGGTAGATAGGTCACTACTTGCTTATACATTTGCTCCAAGTCTAATGAAGCATTGTGCTTTAAAATAAGAGAAGCCATTCCTGCTTTTCCTTCATGATCTGCACAAAAGGAAGTGAGATGACAATTTTGTAACATGAATAAAGTTGACATTGTAATGATAAACTGTACAAAAAATACCGTAGCGCATTAACAAACCAACAGTCATATATCATATTCTGACTTTCAGTAAAGCTGCAAGATCTCATTCATATTTTATGTGGTATTACATGTACTTGGAGATCACTCAAGAGATCAATTAAGCAATAACGCTGTAAATGAGTGTGGTGGGTAAGACTAAATTGAGTCCTATACTTGATATAATCAATAAATGTGGATAAACATCAATAACATTCCTCTCTTGAAAACAAGAGTGAAGAGCATCTTTCCTGGAGTAGCCAATTATGTCTTCTTCTGTTTAGTCTCTTTCTCTTCCTCATATATTTTCTCAAAACTGAGGATCTGAATTAACAGAGAGAGCAATTAAAAGTCCTTATTGTTTAGTCTGGAGAAGGAGAGCACTGTGGGTCTTTGGTAAAGAACAAAATAAGTAAAATCAATGAACTTCATCTATCAAAATTAACTAAAGACTTCAACCTAGTAAGTAATTAAACACTTTAAGGTAGTACTAGCAGCAGAGATGTTCTGAAAACCTTATAGTTGTTTCAATTTGTTGTAATTTTTTGCTAAAGCTACAAAATCTGTAAGGAATTGATTTTTTTGTCCTTAAGTGCAATTATCAAGACAGTCAGATAAACTGAGTAGATAAACAGGTAAGTGTTGTACAGGAAATTACTCTCATACTTTTGAATTTGATTTTCAGACAGTCTTCTGTGATGTTTCATATTCTATGGCTTTAAAATACCGTTCAAATGAGTGTTCATGCTTCACATGAGAGAAAGTGATGCTTCCTCTCATTTTAAACTCCTTTATCATTTTGTGGTGGGTTTATGCTTGCCAGCAACCAAACACCCAGCCAGCTTTGTGCTCAATCCCTTCTGCCATGAGATGGGAAGTGAAGGAAAGCAAGGCTCAAGTGTTAAGGTAATTGCAGTTTCACAGGGAAAGGCAAAAGATACATGTACAAGCAAAGCAAAACCAGGACATCATTCACTATTCCCCATCATCAGATAGATGTCCCAGCTACTTCCTGCAGAGCAGGGCCTTATTTGGAGCCTACAGCATTTTTGCCACTGTTTTAGTTTGGTGCAAAGCAGAGCACCAATCTGTCTCCTATATAGAAAATAATTTTCATCCCAGTGAGACCAAACATGTATTTTAAAAAAAGATTTAGCATGAATGAGAATCAAGCCCATTGATCTAATGAAAAAAAACCAAAAAATTCTATTAAAAGAAATTAGTGTGTTTTCTTCCTTACAAATTTATATTTCTCTTTATATTGTTTTACACTTTCTTATTGGTTTTATAACTTAACTGTTTACAGTTAATTTACAAAGCAAAGTGAAATAAAACAGCAAAATGTCGTCACATATTTTCTTTTACTTTAGAATTACCTTGTTTACATTTTATTTTGGCACATATGTCTGAATTTTACACAGATGTGAATTTATATCTCTCTCACAGATGTGAATTAATAAATCTTTATATTTTAATTTAGATTATGTCGCTATCACAAATGTATGCATGGTAGATTTTCAAAAATACTTCTCATTGCATACAGATAAAAAATGCATCATTCACTGGCTTATTCACAATTGGGTTGTATTTTCATTACCTGCATCTGCATTTTAGCTAGATATTAAAGAGATGAATCAATCAAATATGATTCATAGGTTTAAAACATGAAATAGAAGGAGTTATGAGGCTTAATAATGAACCTGGAAGAAGTAAAATATATAACTCAAACTTTTACCTGGCACAGACACACCATACACATTTGCTTCTTGTATGAAGTCCAACATTACAATGACATCAGAAACTTCTGTAGTGGCAACGTTCTCCCCTTTCCACCTAAAATGTGTGAAAAAATAATTTGATCCCATGATATCTATCCTTTAAAAAAATCTTTAGTAGAATATCCATTCATTTCAGACACTACCTCACATTTTTTCACACTTGCCACATTAAAATTTGATCACCAGAAGACAATGTTGCAACTCATTGCCCTTACTGGGCAACTGAAGATCAATACAATTGTTTCCAAGTTTTTTACATGTATATAAATATATCAAAACTGACCAATCTCTGCTCTTTGATACATTTTTCTCCATATCGGTATATGACTTCCTCATTTGCTCATAGCAAATCCATCAATGGTTATATGCTTATTGAAAAGCATGATCAAAGAGCTGGAATTCCTACAAAGTATTCTGAAAATTGTTCATTCATTTCCACAAGAATATTACTCATAGAACACTTGTGACAAAATTAAGCCTGCATCATCCACTTCAGAATCATTATAAGCAATAAAGATTATAATAAAGTGAACAATTCCAGCTGAAAACAAATCCAACCACATGATTCCATTCAATATATCTTTAATGAAGAAATATGAAAAGAAACAATAACTGTACCTGAAGGTATCTCCAATCCTGTCCCAAAAATATAGAAAATTGTCATGGTCTTGAACCATGAGATCTCCAGTATTAAAATAAAGATCTCCCTTCTTAAATACCTCACAGAGTAATTTCTTTTCTGTGTGTCTTTTATTGCCAGCATAACCAAAGAAGGGGTTCTTTGCATTGACTTTGGAAATCAGAAGACCAGCCTCACCTATACAGAGAAGTTGAAAGAATATAAACCTAAAATATCATTAGACATTTCTGTACCTGACATTAATATCACTTACAATATTGTCCATGCAAAATCACAGTCACTTATATTCCTTCCTGGTGACTCACCAGTTTTCTCCCAGAATGGTCATCTATCAATTGTAAGCTCACTAGTAGTTTATTATCCTCTGAAAGTGCACAATTCAAGTTAATATTGAATTGATGTATTATTGAATTTCCATGACAAGTGCAAGTTTTATCAGCTTCCTAATGAAAAAGTGGTGTTAATCAAAAGTAGGTGCTCAGCCCAGGCACTATGTTCCTATTTAATCTCTTTTCAGAAGTTCTGAGAATGCTGAAATTACCTTGGCTGGAGCTTGGTGTTAATAACATCAAGCTTGTGGGTTTAATCCCTGTAGGGACCATTCACTTAAAGACTTTGACTTGATCCTTGTGCATCCCTTCCAACTCAGAATATCTGGATATTCTGTGACTTCTTAAGAACATTCATTATGATGATGATCTAGCATAATCAATTTACTTTTTGGTGCAAAATATAGAAGTTTAACACATTTTTTTTCCTCGAAGTAGAGAGAGCAGGGGAAAGGATTATCCTCTTATGCATGTAACACCAGGGTGTTAGTTTGCAGGGCATGGAATAACTGTATGAAATAACCTTTTTGGGACAAGGTTCTCAACAATATATCTTTAGAGTTCCATTACTTTGTAGTAGAGACAAGAATTATAAATATGAAAACATATCTAAATGCTTCCATAAGTAGGCACAATTTTTAATTTAAGACTGCCTCCTTAAAAAGGAGCCGTGCCTTTTTTTCCCATAAACTGGTAGTGTTTATAGTAGAAGTATTTAGTTCACTGGTAGTATCACTGCAGACATAATGCTCTGAAGAAATAAGACATGAGTAAGAGAAAGATTATAGACAGAGATAATACTTTTCATAAGACTGAGTGGTGTAGCTGGAAAAAAATTAGACCAAGTGCCTAATTAGAGCATATGCTCCCTTCATAAGTCAGTATGAAATCCCTAAAGATAAATTCCTATAAAATTTCAACTTTTGGTGACATATTGGGTTTGGGGTTTTGGTATGGTTTTTTTTTTTTATTTTTTTTTTATTTTTTTTGTTATTGTTTGTTTGGTTTTTATTATTAAGCTAAATCACATCACCTAGTTGGAAAACTTAATCTCTCATCTAAAAGCATTTGCTCTAATCCACCAGTCTTTCCTGTAGATATCTTAGGCAACCACTTCCATATGTTAACCTCCTTTAAAAAAACACAGATGTTGCATGTGTAAATTCAAAGATAATGCCATAGCATCACTTTTGAACACTACTCTTCTGTGAATACATCCAAGGATCCTGAGTGCTTCTGATATCAGCACTGGTATGTTTAATGCCGTTTTATCTGAGATCAAAAATCACACTGCTTTATTTCAGAGCACAGACTAATGGTTAATTTGGTAAAATGCAGTAACACAATAGCAAGGCTCCTTAAAACAACTCTCTGAAGTATTTTTTTTTAATTCAATAATAAAATCTGTAGGCTGTAATATCCTATTAAAATACATACTTACCTTTCTTAACTTTTTCACACCAACCATGCTTATTTCTAATTGGTTCATCTTTTTGGAAATCATACTTGATTAAATCAAATGGGAAAAAAAGCTAAAAAAGGGAAGAAGTGATCAGTTACTCATCTACACAGTGACATCTGGTGGCAACAAATACACATAAGGAAACCTGCTTCAGTCTCACTCATCTGAAAGGAGAATGCAGTTTCATTTAAGACTGAAAATACTCTGTATGCAAATTTATGCCATTTCCTGGAGATAATCAGCATCAAAACAATTTTCTAAATGAAGACACAGAGCTGTCCTTTTGTTAATTTTCTTACAAGTAAGTTATGGGATCTAGATCATCAGTGAAAGAGCAATGTGAGTGAGCATAATGGAAGCAGTATCTCTAATATTTAAGTGACATTTAATGGTGGTGGCTGATTTGACGTGTTCTTGGGGTCTTCTGGCAATGAAAACAGCTGGCAAGGGAAAGGCCTCACAAAGGAAAATCTGCTTCCTGTTGAGCTTTACTGTTGCTTAACTAGCCCGCGTTCTCAGGCTGGTGGTGATGATTTTCTCAGGTATGATGATGGGACATGAGCACCAGCAGAAGGGAACATCCTTCCATGGCTCCAAGCAAACTGAAGGAAAAGACAAGATGCTCCTAGAAAAACCAGCAACTGAAATACTTTTTTTTCCTTCTTCTTTCTTTTCTTTTTTTTTTTTTCCCTTCAATACATAACAGGTGACTATTATTTTGTTGGTTTTTTTTTTCTGCTGTGATATGAATCCAAACTGGACCTTCAAGAGACATTTCCTGACACTATTTGGACAATTGTGTTTGCAGTGGTCCAAATTGTCTCTTTATTATTCTGAGAGACAATTTGCCCTGCTTGGGATTCCATGTTGCCTTCTCAAAAAGAAATGTATCAGCAATCTTTAATAACTAGTGAAACCAAGGTAATTATCTTCTCCTGAGAATTCTCAGCAATAGGGGAACAATTTTATAAAACATTAATATATACCTGCACTCTTCACAATAAAGAAATGCAATATAACTTAAGGAAGGTTATATGGAAGTGACTGAAGTAAAGAGTAGAATGTTAAAACATAAACCTGTTTTCTGCCACTAACTTGGATGAAGAATTGCATCGTCATCCTAATTTGAAATGCTGTTGTAAATAAATACTTTTTTCTTAAAGAAATCTGAATAAAGAGCAACATGAATCCCACAGTTAAAGTCTCATATGGACAGAACTGGTTCATTGAGTCCTTTCAATGTTCAGCACTGTGTTCTTCTTCTACCCTAAGTCTGAAACAAAAAGATATTTTTAACAGTTGATCAAAGGAAAAAAGTTATATCCTGCAGAATAAAATAATGATTCAAGAAGGGGACACTATTGTATTTAAGTGAAGAGTAATTATTTTGATTAACCTCAGATTAAACCATTTACTAAAGTCAAGAATTAGAGGGCCAGAAAGTTTGCCTCAATTAGAAAACAATTGATTATTCTTGAGGAACAGAGTGGGAGTGGGTCTTTTTTTTTTTTTTTTTTTGGCTGTGTACATTTAAATGCTACTCTTTCTCACTTTTTTTTCTTTTTACATTGATATTTTTTACTTTAATAGGTTTTATATGACCAAATGCAATAAATAATAAGATTGAAATTATTAAAAAAATTAAATATTATTCTGTTTTTGTGTCTGATTAGAATAGCTTAAAATAATGCATCATACAGAGTCATATTTTGACAAAATAGTTTTTAAGTGCTGAAAGAATGAAGAATTATTTTGTTATAAACACTGAGAAACTGTAATTCAGTATCTGAGATTATCTAAGAACTGTTGAGACTATTATTATATATAACTATCCTATGCTGTATACTTCTTTTGCCTACAACTTCAGAGTATTAATGAGGTGTATTCCCATTAGGTTTCTGAAATAATAATGCAAATACATAATATAAAGAAAGAACTACATTTTCTATTAAATATGCATAATGAAACTATACATAGGCAACTGCTGTGCCTGCACAAAAGTCTTTTCCAAGCTAAATCATTCTGTGATTCTAAGCAGCTTGCTTTTCATATTAACTACTAGAAAATGAAAGCTCCACACAAAAGTATTTAGTCTGGGCACAGACTAACATTTAGTTCACTTCATTATTTACATTCTAATGGGACAAAGACCTGAGTTTTTGAAGCATTACCATAATATTTTCACAGAATACTGTATGCAACATTCATCATTTTAATCTACATCTTATTGTCTGAAGCACAACATAAATGTAGCAAATAAAAAGCACTATTTGGTGAGCTAAAAGTGTGTTAATGTGCAACATTGTTTACTACAATGCTGCCTAGAGGTTATCTAATAACAGCTTCCCTCACCATCTTCATTTTTTAATTGATTGGAAATACGTGAATTTAAATATTGTTTCGAAAGTATTTTGACATTCCTAATGTTTCAACTTACACAGAATGCTCAGAGAACCTTTACCAGAATATAAAGATCACATGCTTTTTATTACTGGTTTTAGAGCTAGAGTATTTTTTTAATTCTCTTGGAGAATATCAGTTTTGAAAACAAATCATTACATGTACTAGATTTAGTTTCAAGCATCTTTAAAAACTGAAATGTAAGAAAAAAAAATTGGAGCATAGTGTGATCACATTTTGGAGACAGTTTTTAAAATATACTATAAATGCCTTATTTATGCTGTAAAGAGCAGATGCACAGGTACTCCACACAGCTTTTGTGAGCCAAAGTAAACAAAACCAGGAAACAAATCTTTTAAACTGATTCATAACATGTAAGAATACCTGAGAAAACACTTGTAGTACTTTAGATAATTTTAGCTCAAAATTAGTCAAAGGAGAAAAAACAACATTAATTTTCATTGCCTAATGAACTTAGGAGCTTCCATTGCTTCAATTTACACATCAGTATTCTTCCTTTGAACCCAGTTTTCCAGGATTTAAAAATTTGCTTAAAAATAACTTTGTTTATTTTTAAACTAAGTAATTTGACTTCTGCCACAAGTTCTATGACTGCATGAAGTGCATGATACTAATTCTGAATGGCTGTGTGAAAGCCATTTTATATGCTGAAATTATTTAAGATTTGTTATAAGATTTAAATGATGTCTCCCAGCTCAAAGCTGATTTTTATCTATACAGTTTTGGGCAAGAGATTTTGATGCCTATAATACTTTGAGTATCTTTGTTTAAAATAATGAGAAATTACNTTTTTTTTTTTTTTTTTTTTTTTTTTTTTTTTTTTTTTTTTTTTTTTTTTTTTTTTTTTTTTTTTTTTTTACATAATGCTTTCAGGTGAACATGCCATGGGTTATTTTTAGCCCTTCTTATAAGCTTCCTTGGATCTCATTAATCCCAAGCTCCTTTGTTGTCTGTCATCACTCAGAATTTATTTCAGTATAACAGATTTATATACTGATAGACACAACTGTGGGTCTTCAAGAGGGTCTTCAAGATTTTTCCCATATCATATCTATAAAAATACACACATAATGTATGTCCTATATAACATAATTGATTATTAACATTACCTAGACACATATGTATGTCAGATGTAAAGATTAAACAGTAATTTTATTATATTACTGTGTTTATCAAGCCCTTGTAATTTTTGTAAAACATTTTAAGTTTCACCAGCTGAAAATCTATTCAGAAGCTTCTACTTTTCTGTTCATTTACTCTGTGTAAACATCTTTATTGAAAGATTTATTCATATTCTGTGGGGAGGCTTTCAAGCACATGAACCAATCCCTCTTATACAAAGAACACAGTGTGAAATAGAAGAAGTGCAAACAAGAGCACTGCTTTTAGTTAACATCTCAAATACAGTGACTTCTGCCAACTGCTGTAACATTCATCTGTTTCTTCCTATTACCTTATGTCTTCCAATATTTTTATGAAAACAAATGTGTTCTGTATAACCTTAATATTTATCACATATTTACCACAAGCATCTATCCCCAGCCCTTAGCAGTTACTGGTAGAAAAGTTACTTTGCTCCCTCTGAGAGCCCAGGTTGTGTCTTAAAGCTGTAATTTTTATCTCTATTTCACCTTTACAAACTGTGCCATGGTTACTACCTACAACAGACTGCACTCCTGTTTTTTTCCCTTCTTGTCTAGTGAATGTAATTTAGACTGAAGAAAAACAAACAGCAGCTAGACGTCAGAAGGCATTGTTCAGTGATCTGCAAGCTGCAAAATGTATTCAAAAACCCCCAGAACAAATGCCTGAAATAAGGAAAAAAGGAAGTCATCTATGGAATTAAAATATATATTTAGTGTTGCACACAAAATCCCCACACTACTTGATTAAAAATACAGATGATTAAATAAATATAAAGGTAGTTTCAAGTTTAATCTTTATCTGCTGTAGACTTCACATGGTATTTCCAAAAGGTTAATGACTGATGACAAAAATCTGCTGAAAAGTTCTGCAATAGTGAAAACAAGTTTACTCAAGTTTCGAATGCATCTTGCCAAATCTTGTAAGAATATAAGGCACCTGGGAGGTCTGAAACAAAAACTAACATCAACTGTAAGGTTCCTGGTTCATCTATTACTCCCTAAATTCTAGATCTCTGATTTCCTGTAGCAGTTCTGGACCCTTCTGGAGATATCCAACAGCACTGGGTGGTCACTGCCTGCCACAGAGCATCAGACATGTAGGACAGAGAATCAGTGGAACGATCTGCTTAAATTCCTGAGCTCTCAGTGGTTTCTGAGCAGCACACTAGCTCTTGTGGTGTTTTCTGAGTGGTTCCAGAATCCTCACTGAGCTCCTGTATGAGAGGTGAAGAATTCCTCTGGCCCCAGTGTGTAAAGCAGTCTGTGCAGTGATTGTACTGTGGTGATGAGAGCATTGAAGTTGAGGACCCTAGAACATATGCTGCCTAGAAACCTACTGAGATGGCATCAGAAGATGCCTCTGTTGTATTTCCAAAAAATGATTTTACTACTTTAAAAAGTTTTGTTGGGACATTTTGCTATCAGCTCTCCTACAGAGCACAAATGTCATTTAAGTCAACAGGACTTGTATATAGATAGGTATCACATTCAATTTAAAATTCTAGGCAATGCATGAAGTACTATTTATCTCAAGAAGAGCAAAAACTGGCATAAACAGCAACATAATGATCAATATGCAGTCTTCTTGAAAAAAGGCTAGACATCTTTCATATTACTAGCTAAAGCTTGGGACATATGTTACTTTGTTTGGGACTTTCAAATCATTTAAAAGATTGTCCTTACAAGATCAAAAAGAAGAAGTCCATCTGTGAATTTCAAGCAGAAATAAATTCTTTATTTACTACGAAGGAAAGTCATAATGTGTGATACAAATAACATGTAATCCTCCTCCCCAAAATATATGACTGCCATTTTCAAAGCTATGAAATACAGAATGGGGTTTTTTTCTTGTTTCAGTAACCTAGAAGACAGTAGACTGTAGACAAAGGGCTATGGTTTTTAAAATTCATAATCTTACCAAGTATTCTCTGTCACAATACCTCAACAGTTATTATATATGCATTGTGTTATCTTTAACATTTCTGAATACAGGTTAGATATAGTTTGAATTAATTATGTTTATTTGCACCTAGGTATAAAATAACTATTAAATTTGTATCTGTCCATATGCTACTGTATATAATTATTACAATATATTAATTATTATTCATTCCCATTTATGCCAAATATTTACATAGCAGTATGCAATATAAACATACTATATAAACACATCTCTAACTATAATTTGTAGAATAGTAAATCAGAATAGGAAATTTGTAGCCTTATTTCAGCAATAAAGAGTTCTTAAGTGTTAAAATAAATCCAACTTTTTCTTTTGTCCTCTGATGTAGTAGAGACCTGAAACTATACTTGGCAACTGTCAGAAGAGAGCCAAAACCTTTTTGACTGTTGTGAACTCTATAAAAAATCTCAGTGTTACTGCTGAATGTACAAGTGGGTTGGGTGCCAAGATTCTACAGAGGGTCAACTAACTTGCAATAACCAAGTTAGAAAATTTGTCTTGGATTTAAGACTGTACTCAAACAATTTTTCAGCACTCCTACTAAGCAGAATGTAAATAAATAGTCACCTTATAGAAGAAATTGGTGCGCCCAACAGATCCAATTTTTCCTGTGTGGTTCATGAAACAAATGTTTCCCTCAGTAGCACCATAGAACTCACAGATCTTAACAGCACCAAATCTCTCCAAAAATTCCCTCCATACATCATTTCTTACTCCATTTCCAACTGCTAGGCGGACTTTGTGATTTTTTTCTCCTTCCTTCTGTTAAAAAAAAGAAAAAAAT